AGCATTGGCAAAGTCGGGATCGAACTTCACACACAGCACGTACTCAACGCCTGGCATCACAGCCCATATCGCTATCGCCTTGTGGTCGAGTTGTCCTTGTGGGTGGGAGGGTATGTGTAATGTGTGTGTGGTAAAAAGAGGAATGCAAGTAGACGTTACTAAATGTTATTACTTCTCCAGAACAAGATTGAAAGCCTTACTAACACCTAGCTGGGTTCGATATCTCCGGAGCTTGGTATTCTTATCATTCCGCAGCACGACGTAGCTGCATTTGTGTCCTTTTAAGTTTCTTAAGTTGTTGAGTTACTGGCACTTATCCTAACATCTAAGTGTGTTCTATTTTGCAGCACCGGTAACATATTTCAATTGGATAAGTCGAAAGATTTTTAGGTTTCTGTTGTCCTCGAGAAGGGATCATTCGACAACATGCAGTTGAAATACCCGCGACAAAATTTCCGCACAATAACTGAGTGGATTGAGTTGTTGAAAGATCAGATCTCCGTTGTCGGAGCAGCGATCGCCCCCTGATTCGGAGCAGTCTCATTTGTCATATTACTACTGACGCGTCTGAAAATGCGACTTAAAAATGCTTAATTTACTCGATCTAGTTTGGGCGGCTTGGCTTCGTCGAACAGTTCAACAGCGAACACTACGTGTTTGCATATGCTGCATTTGTACGCATTACGAAGGTCCCCTGGTTTTGTCAATCTCTGCAGCCTAGCCAGCCTTCCAGAGCGGGATCACATTTTTGCCCAATATCCTTTTGAATCTGATATCGCCGTAGCTTGATATAGTTTTCGTCTCCATAACATGAAAGCACTTGCATGCGAGTGTTGTAGCAGATACCAATCCCTCCATCAGGACGCTCACAACGGGCGAATGGTTTGCTGTCACACACTTCGATCGTTTGTTTGGTAGGCCCACCTGGTACAACTAGCAAGTCCGATGACAATTTCTGGCAGATACTAGCATTAAATCTCTCGAACGCTTGCTGAGTACCAGCATGGCCGAGAAAAGGTGTGTCATTAAAACAAAGTGCCGCTGGAATACTCGAGCTCGGGTTTTTGACGCAGTAGTTGTCGGTTAAGTCACATGTTCCACGAAACCCATTGCAACAGAGTTGGATCGGTCGCGAAATTGTAAAATTCTGGAGAGACTGCAGAGGTGCCATGTCTGGTAGCTGCTCAAGGTGAGGGAGTAACCCCAAGACAAGACTTTGCAGTTGAGAAACATGATTAAAGCTCGGGAGTGTCCGCAGCTCAAGTAACCACGCTAGAGTCACACTCCGAAGATTCGGAACACCGCTGAGAGGTGGAAGACGTGAAAGTTCGGGGTGAATTCCAATGTGAACTGTGGAGAGCCACGGCATATCACTGAAGAGATCTTCGGGTAGCGAAAGGAGGTTTTGGCTTCCAACTTTTCCCTCCAAATGACTGAATTTAGCAAAGAACATCCGAACGAATGTTAGATTGGCACGCAAATTTAAAAAAAAAAATACTCACAGAATTTGAAGATACTTGAATTCCTTGGCCCACGACGGAATCTTCTGGATACCGGTATAAATTAATTCCCTGCCAGGAAAACAAATGTAAGTAAATGTTGACGGTCAGTTTTACAGCTTTGGACTTACAAAGACGAAAGGTGTCGGCAGGATTGAAGTTCGCTTGGCAATTCCAGTAGTTGGCGATTAATCAACTGGAGTGACCGTAATTCTCCTGAAAGTGCCAATGCTTGGACAGTGCTGTACACATCGACCGGATTGATCCACTCGTCGTACGTTTTTGGTGCTCGATCCACGTCGATTAATATTCTACACGGACACACCCCATCCTGTTTCCAGCGGTAAGCGTAAACAACACACTGCGCATAATGAGAGCAGTGCGCGTGTGAGTCCGTGATAGCTTGATTAGTCACCATCCACACCACGACACTGAAGGCAATGAAAAATACTGCAAACACTCTTGGTACTGGCTTTTGCTTTCTTGGCCGCCTAATTCTCTTTGCTCGCACGGCCTGTGCGCGCCGTAGATGCGCAACAACAAGGACATCTCCAATGCGCTTGAGACGATAGCAAAACGACAGGTTGATGCCAACTCGAAGAATAAAGTCGAGAGCAGATTTAATCCGGAGCGAGTCAAATGCCGAGCGAAAAAGTGCCACTTCGGATGGGTCAGCAAACACTGCAGCAGAGCGCTCAAAGCTGCCAACCGGGAGGATTTCCAGATATGTAGCAAACACGGCGTCATCAAACTGAAAATTGTAGTAGCAGTACACGAGCACTAGAACTGGAAAAATGATTGCAGCGAATAGGTCGAAGCTGTAGAACATAATCAGATCAGCATAACAGCAACCGATTTTCGTTAAAAATGAAAAACTCACACACAACCGGCGATAACCTCCCCCATCGCAGAAAACTTTCCAATCAGTATCTTGGCCGCTCCTGCTAAAGAGCCCAACGAAATTAATGCAGTGTATCCATAAACAAGAGCCTCAGGGTTTCCAATTTCCAAGAGCTCGAGCAGCACTGTCATCTGCATGGTCAAATTGAATACCTTCAAACAAACATTCTGTATCGTAAAAAGTCAGTTTTTTTTACTGGTACCAATTCTTTTACAGCAAAGACGTCCGTCTTACCCAGAATTTCCGCTTGCTCCCACGGAATGATGTCAACTCCACGTACTGAGTCTTGACGCGAGTGCCTGCAGTACAAACCCACGAGTTTGATGCAGAGTCTATTCGTTGTTGCTCTTCTAGCCTTAGAGTGGCTCGCTGAAGATTAAGAACGGTATTTCGCCAACACAGCATTTTGACGACGACGTACAGATAACAAGCATTCACAACCACAAGCCCTACTGCGCCAATCTTGATCATCACCGGATCCGTATCGATAATTAACCAGAACTGACCATTGTCGTAGCCATTAGTACCCATTAACCAGTTAGCAACTTGGTTCGGAAGTAATGTCACGCATATCAAACAATTTGTCCACGAGATGCATGCCGCAAGTGTAACTAACATGGGATATCCTAGCACGCCAAAAGCTTCTTGAAAACTGAGTGTTAGGAACTGATCTTTTTCACTTGCTTTCTCCGTTTGTCTGGTCGTAGATATGGCTGGAACAATTTGATTATTCTTTACCGCCGACACGATGACCGACTGGGTGTTCATTCGTTGGATCTTCCTGCTTGAAGCATTGGGAAGCGGTGAAAATCCAACCGACATGGCGTTGGAGGTTTTAAACGACTTTCCCATCAGCTTAGCGTGTTTGCGTCGCGGAGATTGCTCTGGTGGAGGAACAGTGAAACTTGTATCGACCACCCAGAGCAGACCGCTACGAAGCTTACCAGTCTAAGTAGACTGCCTACTACTACGTACCTAATAATAGTGTTTGTTGTATCCATTTCGAGCCCACCAAAGCACAAACATTTCTTAGTCATGATTAAGCAAAAGCAGTTTGTTTATTGAGCGGTCTACTCCGAAATGGCAAAACTACAAGAAGCGACTACGCCCGAACGCGCCTCCGGGACGCTTGGCACAAAGTCGACGATCGCGTCGATCTTTTCCTTCACTTCTGGAGTGATCTTGTCAACAAACGTCAGCTCTTTCAAGTTCTCCTCCAGCTGCGATGGACTACTGGCCCCCGCCAGCACCATCGACACGTTTGCGTTGGAGACAGCCCAGGCGACCGACATTTGCGGGAGTGAACAACCCAGCTTCTCTGCAATAGGCTTCAGCTTGTCGGCCATCTTGACACGTCCCTCAAAGCCGGCACTGTACGGACCGGACGAGAACTTGGAGGTCTTAAAGCGAGAGTCATCAGGCTTCCCAGCTGTACTTACCCGTAAGAACACCGAACGCCAGTGGAGACCACGTCGTGAGACCGGGCTTGTACTATATATTTAGTACATCATCGCTGTCTCTTTGGGGACGGGGAGTCATACTCGTCACCTACAACAAAGCTACGCGAAACAACCAACCAACTGCCTGCGTTTAAATGAAGCTATCGCTGCGACAGACGCGGTCACACCGGCGTCAATGACTTCTCTGCTCTCCAGCATCGATAGTATTAACGCTGCTCTAGAAGCTGCAGTGGCACAGCCTCCACCGCCGACCGGTACATTGCGTGTGTGCCACGCAACGGAAGATGAATGGAACGCGTTTGCTGACAGCGAGGGTCAAATCGTTCGACTCAATTTTCTTGAATGGCTTGCTGACACTGGCGAGATCCACATCATCGAGTTTGCCGACGCGCCACACGAGAATTATATTAGAGAGTTTGAAAAAGATACTTCATTTGCGGAGATGAATGTTTGTCGATGGATCAAAGGATACGGCCCCGCCAAGTATTCTCAGGGGTGGTGTCCAGACCTCAGTTATGGGTCACGCGAGACAACACCAGGCTCCGTGCTTCCTCCAGGCGTCCAAATATATATAAAAAAAATATTTGCTGACTTCCGGACGATCAAAATCGAGGTTGGAATATCGCAGCCGTAGGGCATGGCGCAACGACAACTCGACCACAAGGCGATAGCGATATGGGCTGTGATGCCAGGCGTTGAGTACGTGCTGTGTGTGAAGTTCGATCCCGACTTTGCCAATGCTGAATACAAGTTGTACGATGCTCGCGTCAATCCCCTCGTGCAACTGGCTCCAGTTCCAATCGTTGCTCCAAGTACCGTGATCCAGTTGGTATTCTGCCAGGGATGGCGCTCCCGGTAGGCTTTCCTGCAACTCTGTCGGTGGATTTGTACTCTCCATTGGTCTGGGCAATGCGTTAATCAGATGCCCAGCAATCTCTTGCGCAGCAACTACCAAGTCAGAAATAATAATTTGCGACTTGCACCCCATTCTCGAGATTTAATTACCTTATTCAAGAATCGAGCGATGGGGACCACCTCTATTCTCGTTATCAGAAGTATCGATATCAGTTATTGAACACGTCTGATACGATGAATTCTGATAAGTGACCCAACTCTCTTTTTATAATTTTATGTTTTTTCATATATTACCGTCTTATACCCTTTTACTTATTATAATATTCTTTATAAAACTAAAAGAAAGATAGACACCTGGACACTGAGATATATAGATTGATCTAGAGTTGATATTGCTACTTCTAATGAAAGAAAGATGGACATAAAAGTTGGACGCAAGCCGGACAAATACCGGACACTAACGATGAGCTCGACATCTAAGTGTATCGAAACATAGCAAAAAAAAACCTGTTTCGATAATGAGTACAAAATAATTAACACATGGACACATTTACATAAGGCGCTTATGTGTAAATCTTGCGGGATTGTAGTACTCAGACATCATAAAAAAAAATGAGTTCATCTACTGGTATTTGGCTTGCAATTGCGCGAGGGAAGCTATTTCTACCATACAAATTTTGGCCGGAGAAGGATTTTTGATGATGCGATCAAATTCTTCCAGGGTAATACGTGATTGAACTATTATTCGAACGGTGAGCAGTGCAAGCTTGTTCGCAACAAAGAGCGATGTGCCAAGCATCCAATTATTATCGGAGAGGGTAGTACTATCGAAGAGAGTAATATAGTCGAAGCAATGCCGCCTCAAGTGAATACCTCTGTAATTGCTGAGGTTGTTGATACAACAGCGCCGTCGGCGGTCAAGCCTGTCGAGGTTTGTTCCAGAAATGGATAGCGTGGTATATGAGAACGATCATACTTCGGATTCTAAAGAATTAAATAATTCTGAGTATGATGCAGACGAATACGCAGGAGAAATCGCAGAAGCGGAAAAAGAGTTCTTCTTCGAGCAGTACATCGAAACGGGCAAAGTACAGCAGTTCGACGTAAAAGAAAATTCGTTAGACCCCATGGATGTCATTGGAGCATTCGACGAATATATTGCCAACAAGAACTTGGATATCAAAGGATCAGAAAAAATTGACAGCGAGGCATACTTCGGTGGATATCGCTATTGCTTTTACATTCAAAAAGGCAATTAGACGCTAAGACATTTCTATTGCAAGAACGAACAGATGATGATCAACATACCAATCATGATTGACGAGCTGAATGTTGCTCAATACTACGTGTCGAAAAAGATCTACGATCATCGTCTACACGACCTGTGTTGTTTGATGAAGTGGTCATGGTTTAAACTTGGCGGGTATGCTGTATAAGAACAACACGTCGATCTGGGTCTGATGCGTAAAGCTTATTTGTGTATTCTACAGACAGTGACAGATCGATTTTATCAAGCT